CCAGCTTCTAGTGCTCGGCCTGCTGCACGTCCCCAGTCCCCTCATCTCAAAGCAAAGGATAGAATGATCACTTGCATCCAGAGCTCCCCTAATCTGTACTTCATCTATCAGCTCCTCCCTATTAGTCAAGACCAAGTCAAGGATGTTTCTCCCCCTCGTCGCCTCTCGGACCCTCTGTGTGAAAAACCCTCCCTCTGTAGCTTCTAGGAAGTGATGTGACCTGGCTGTCACCGCCGAGTGAGTCTCCCAACTAATATCCGGGAGAATTAAATCTCCCATAATTACTGTGTCTCTCCCCCGAGATATCCTTAGAATCTGGTCTGTCAGGACATCATCCAGGGTCTCAAGTTGACCTGGAGGGCAATAACATACCCCCACTGTCAGGTCCCTCTCCCTGTCAAAACCCCTACGTTTCACCCTGACTGCCTCTACCGAATCCCCATCTATGCTGCATTCTATCTCACTGCATCCTATCCCTTCCCTGATGTATAAAGCCACACCTCCACCTCTCTTTCCCTTCCTGTCCTTTCTAAAAAGGTGATACCCTTTTATGTTCATATTCCAGACTTGCCTTTCATCCCACCAAGTTTCTGTGATTCCCACCAGATCATACCCTCCTATTCCCAGGAGAGCTTCAATCTCTTCCTGCTTATTACCCATGTTCCTAGCATTGGTGTACATGCACCTCAACTCCTTCCCACCGCTTCTTTTCCTTTGAGTTCCTAGCCTCCTCCTTCCTCCCATCCTCCCTGATACCTGGCCCCTCTCTGTAGGAGTCCTGTCAGTTCCTGCAGTACCTCTAAAATCCTGCTCCCAGAGCCCTGATCCTCTCCCCACATTTGTCCAGTGCAGACATGTCTCTGGGGGGCCTGAACCCACCCACCCCTGACTCAGTTTAAAGTCTTCCGGAAGAAGCTCGCTAGAGCATCTCCAAAGGACCTTTTCCCCATCCTTGTGAGGTGTAACCCTTCCCTTGCCAGAAGTCCATTGGCAAGAAACGAAGTGCCGTGGTCGAGGAACCTGAAGCGTTCCTTCTGGCACCACACCCTAAGCCAGTCGTTCACCTCAGACGCCCTCCTGTCCCTTCCTGGCCCAAATCACTGGACTGGTAAGATTGATGAGAAGGCCACTTGGGCCTTTAGCTCCCTGAGTTTCTTCCCCAAGGCCTCGAAGTCCCTGGTGGTCCCAACCACACCCTGCCTGGCCACGTAATTTGTGCCCACATGGATCACCAGGAGCGGCTGGTGACCCCCGGAGCAAACAAGACACTCCACTCTGTCCATCATATGCTGGATGCGTGCACCTGGCAGGCAACAAAGCTCCCTTGTCTCCAGGTTGGGGCGGCACACGCTGCCTCAGTGCCCCTCAGCAGGGAGTCCCCAACAACAATCACCCATCGCTATGTCTTCCTGGTGGTGGTGAGTGGCTGTGCCTTGGCCCTCACCTGTCCTGCAGTGGCCTCCTTGCCGCTTTTCGTCCCAGGCTGGGGGTCCTGCTGGTCCCCTGAGGCCTCATCAGCCCCAGCCTCCCCAAGTGGAGAGAACCTGTTTCCCAGCTCCAGATTGGTGCCAGGTGACATACCTCCATGTCTCCACGGCTGCTCCTCCCATGGCCTCTCCCTCAACCCTCTGTCCAGAGGGGGGCTGCTCCCGGGGGGCCTGGAGAGCTCTCTTGGCCCTCAGGCACCTCACTTCCTCCTCTAGCAGGGTCACCAGCTTGCACCGAGGGCAAGTGTAACCCTGTCCCTCCTGGGGGAGAAGGGTGAACATGTTGCAGCTGTCGCAGTGGACAGCAACACCCGTGACTCCTGCCAAGGCCATCTCCTGGTCTGCCATTGGGATCCCTTCCGAGATTTTACCTTGGTCCCCTGCCTTGTTTGTCCTGCAGTTCCTCTCACTCGCCCCGTTGTCCCAGACAAAAACCCACTCGCACACACACACAAGGATAAAATAAACTTAAATTTATAAAATAAACTTAAATTTAAATTGGAGGAAAAACAAAGCACAGCACAGCATAGCAACAAGGAAGGAAGGAAGGAAGGAAGGAAGGAAGGAAGGAAGGAAGGAAGGAAGGACGGAAGGAAAACAAAGCAAAAAAAAACCAAACAAACCTCTGTGTTCCAGGGTTTGCATCCCATATATTTAACTTATATGAAGAGCACATCATGAGAAAGGTGGGGCTAGATGAATCACCATTTGGAATTAAGATTGCTGGGAGAAATATCAACAACCTCAGATATGCAGATGATACCACTCTCATGGCAGAAAGTGAAGAGGAACTAAAGAGCCTCTTGATGCGGATGAAGGAGGAGAGCACAAAAGTTGGCTTGAAAATCAACATTAAGAAAACTAAGATCATGGCATCCGGTCCTCTCACTTTCTGGCAAATAGATGGGGAAGAAATGGAGGTAGTGACAGATTTTATTTTCCTGGGCTCGAAGATCACCGCAGACGGGGACTGTAGCCAAGAAATTAGAAGACGCTTGCTCCTGGGGAGGAAAGCTATGGCAAATCTAGACAGCATACTAAAAAGCAGAGACATCACCCTGCCAAAGAAAGTGAATATAGTCAAGGCTATGGGTTTCCCAGTTGCAATGTGTGGGTGTGAAAACTAGACCATAAGGAAGGCTTAGCACTGAAGGATTGAGGCCTTTGAATTGTGGTGCTGGAGGAGACTCCTGCGAGTCCCTTGGACCGAAAGGCAATCAAACTGGTCAGTCCTAGAGGAGATTAACCCTGACTTCTCTTTAGAAGGCCAGATCCTGAAGATGAAACTCAAATACATTGGCCACCTAATGAGAAGGAAGGGCTCCCTGGAGAAGAGCCTAATGCTGGGAACAATAGATGGCAAAAGAAGAAGGGGATGGCAGAGAATGAGGTGGCTAGATGGAGTCACTGAAGCAGTTGGTGTGAGCTTGAGTGGACTCCGGGGGATAGTGGAAGACAGGAAGGCCTGGAGGAATGTTGTCCATTGGGTCACGATGGGTCAGGCATGACTTCGTGACTAACAACAACAAATGTGACCTCCCTCATTCACTCCTTTTCCTTATAGAATTACACATTCCATACATTCCAGGGCTCAGTCCTGGGACTCATCCTGTTCAATCTTTTCATCAATGACCTGGAGGAAGGAGTGACATGTCTGCTGGTGATATTCACAGATGATACTAAAATGGGGTGGTGGCTGCAACTGAGGAACAGGTCCTCCAGATCCAAAAGGATCTGGACAGACTATGGAAATGGGCTGAGGATGACAGGATGGTGTTCAATGTGGATAAGTGCAAGGTCTTGCACTTGGGCCATAGGAATGGGCTTCATAAGTACAGGGGGCAAGTGACTGGAGAGCAGCACTTGTGAAAAGGATCTCAGGGTGCTGGTCGACTACAGGCTAAACATGAGCCAGCAGTGTGACGAAGCAGCCAAGAGAGCAAACACCACCCTTGGATGCATAGCCAGAAGCATGGCTTCTAGATCAAGAAAGGTACTACTGCCACTCTATATGACTCTGGTGTGCCCACAACTGGAGTACTGTGTTCAATTCTGGACACCTCATTACAAGAGGGATATAGCAAGGTTGGAGTCAGTGCAGTGATGGGCAATACGATGGTGGCTGGTTTGCTGAGTAAGCCATATGAGGACACTGAGGGAGCTGGGTCTTTTCAGCCTTGGGAGGAGAAGACTCAGAGGGGACTTGTTAGGGACATACAAGTATGTGAGGGGGTGCCATGGATCATGACCTTTTTTCTCCTGTAGTGGAAGGCAGGACGCATTCCAATGGAGCAAAGCTCAGGGAACCAAGATTTAGGGTGGATGCCAGGAAGTTCTTCCTGATGCTTAGGACCCCTACGGTATGGAATGGGCTTCCCTAGGAGGTGGTTGAAGCCCCAATGGTGTGGGTGTTTAGGCTGGACATGCACATGTGAGCATGTCATGAGTGGAGCCAGGGGTCAGACTAGATGGCCAAGGAGGTTCCTTCTGACTCACTCTGTTTCTATGTTTCTATACATTTCCAAAGCCTTATTTTGTGTGTCAGAAATTGGGCTTGCCAAGAACATAGCTAATTTTTCCATTTAGGGTACAGTTCTCAATGAAGGGTTTATTATAATTATCATGCTTTTGTTTGCAGGGATGCAGCTCTACCAAGTTGATTATCTAAAATCAATTTGTGTATTTCAGATCTTTTGAGTATAATCTGTAAATGCCCTAAGTGGTATTATCCTTAGATTCTGTGCATGAATTCTGGGTAGCAAGGTTGATTCCTAACTATAGGCACTAGATGATGAATGTCTAAAAGGTTCCTACTAGATTTAATGAATGTATGTTCCTGGAAACATGAACAAGAGCATACAGTATACACCACTTTGTCTTGGCCATTTACTATGTTATGGATCATCTGAGCCCCATATGGCAGGAGGAAACCTCTTGAGATCATAATGAAAGGAATAAACTTGCACAGAGAATCCACTACATTCCCTCTGCACTACAGAATCTGGCTGAAAATATTGGAGTGCTAGTAGCTTTCTAGCTTCACAATGAAAGCAGGAAGGCTTGAGATTTTTTTTCAGAAGTTGCTGTCATAGAGCGTAGTAGGAAAGAGAAACCTTAATAACCTTTGAAACACAGTAGAGGGCTTCAGCAAACTACTGAGCAAAAACCGAAGTTAAAATTTTCATTTTTCAGCATTTTTAAACTTGCTGAACCTGTGACGATTTTTATCAGATTGGTTTAAGAACTGGCACATTTATAAATCTTACCAAATAGTAGATTTTATATGCCAGGTTTCAAAGTATTAGCCGAATGTGTCATTTGATAAGCAATAAAGTTTGAAGTTTTTAACAGTGGAAACTTGAAATGACCTCAACAGGTAATCTGTTGGGCTTTCAGCAGTGATAGACTTCATTGCTCAAGCGTCTCATCCTAATGCCTTCTGATCCTAATCTCTTTTGTATGTACTCATTATTCCATCTCTATTATGATATTACTCATGATAAATTGATTTAGTCTACAGGTAAAATGGATGAAAACCAGTTTGTTGCAGTTACAAGCACCAATGCAGCCAAAATCTTTAATCTGTACCCACGAAAAGGAAGAATTGCTGTGGGTTCTGATGCTGATATTGTGATCTGGGATCCAGAGAAGGAGAAGACAATCACTGCCAAAAGCCATACATCGGTAAGAACTCTTCAGTCCTGTTAATGGTTCAGTTGAAGCATTATTTTTGTTAATGGTGCAGACTGCTGAAAAGTTATGACCTGAGTCATCACTACATGTATACAAATATTACTTGCTGTATGTGTCACCTAACCATATTCAGAATATAGTTGTCATCATTAATACTACCAGAAATATACTGATACACATGTGAGTACCTTGTGTACAATAGAAGGATATGGGATTTTCAATGGCCTACACAGATAAGTGTCAATGGATCCCTTTGATCTGGTAGTCCTGTAGTTGTATGCAAAAACAGAAATACAAAATAGATTTACACTGGCTAATTAAATGCCTTTCTTCCTTTTGTATTTCTTTGTCATTGACTTTGAACAAGACGATTAGGTCAAATGCATTCAGTAGTTATGATCCAAGACAATAATTGTATCCAAGACAATACATTGTATGTATTTATGGATAGTTGGCACTAGTTCAATGGCATATTAGATTTTTTTTTTTTTTAGAGTCGCAACACCAAATGTCATATTAACAGTTATTGTAACGGAGTCAAGGCTGAGAAGATTTAAGTTGGGACTTGTAATTTTCCAGCTGAGAGAAACTCACTCCTCTTCTGCATGGAATTTCAAAACTAATTTTCCTTCTGAGTGTAGATAGTGTTAGCAAATTTCTATTTTTCCTGCCATGAAATTCCTGCAAATTTCCTATTCATTCTACTGCTTGGCAATAAATTTTGCATAATTTTTGCAGTCCTACTCACTGCTTATGAAACCCTAATCTACATCTGACAACTGGAAGGATGCTTAAGAATATAGGACATTAGAAATTAGAAATGTTTGTTTGGCATCCTGATGTTCGTCCATCATTTTTGAATAGGACCTTGACATCTAACAAGTTGTGGGCTGTCCACGGTGTGTCCGCAGGTGGCTGATAAGGTCAATACGGGCACAGAATGTTCTGCCGCATGTTGGGCAGACATGTGTGGGCACCACTGTTGCAGCATTTGCAACTCTGGCTTTACAGAGTGCTCGCTTCTCTTGTGCTATGGTTGTCCTTCTAGCTTCAGATGTTTGACAGCCTTGGTGGATCAGCATGCGCCATGTCAATTGATCTTGTGCCAGGGTTTCCCAGGAGGTGGTGTCGATATCCAGAGACTTGAGAGAGGCTTTCAGCGTGTCTTTGTATCGCTTCTTTTGTCCCCCATGCGATCACTTTCCTTGAGACAGCTCACCATAGAACAGCTGTTTGGGGATGCGATGGTCTGGCATCCTTGCAACATGGCCTGCCCAGCGTGTCTGGGCTTTCATCAGCAGGGTGTGAACTGACAGCAGGCTTGCTCTGGAGAGGACTTCTGTGTCTGGCACCTTGTCCTGCCACTGGATCCTCAGAAGTCTGTGGAGGCAAGTCGTGTGGAAGTGGTACAGTTGCCTAGCATGCCTCCTGTATACAGTCCAGGTCTCACTGGCATACATCAGTGTAGTTAGCACTACTGCTTGGTAGACTTTAAGCTTTGTAGCAAGGCTTATTATGGCGGTCTCACAATTTGGTCAACAGTCCGCCGAATGCGGAGCTTGCCTTAGTGATTCTGCAGTTAACCTCGATGTCAATTGTCACTGCACGGGAGAGGGTGCTGCCAAGGTATGTAAATTGGTCCACTGCTTGCAGCTTTTGTCCCTTCACTGTGATGGTGGGCTCTTGGTGTTGGGCTTTCGGAGCTGGCTAGTGCATCACTTTGGTTTTCTTTGTGTTGATGAGGAGGCCAAAGTTGTCACGTGCTGCTGCGAATTTGTCCATGCTGGCTTGCATTTCCTGCTCTGATCCAGCATTCAGGGCACAGTCGTCAGCAAAAAGGAGGTCTCGTAGCACAGTCTCCTTTATCTTGGTGACAGCCTGGAGTCTTCGCAGGTTGAACAATTTCCCATTGGTCCTGTATCTCAGGCTGACTCCCAAGGAACTGTTCTGAAAGGCATGGCTGAAAACATGCTGAACAGGGTTGGTTCCAGCACACACCCTTGCTTGACGGCATTTGTGATGAGAAAGGCCTCTGAAGCCTTTCCATCATCCAATACACAAGCTGTCATGCCGTCGTGGAACTGACGTACCATCAGGATGAATCTGTCAGGGCATCCAAACTTTGACATGATGCGCCACAGACCTTCGCGACTGACAATGTCAAAAGCCTTGGTGAGATCCACGAAGATGGTGTACAGTTCACGATTCTGCTCTTGACACTTCTCTTGGAGTTGTCAGGTTGTGAAGATCATGTCCACAGTGCCCCGCTCTTTGCAGAAGCTGCACTGTGTCTTGGGTAATAGACCCTTTTCCAGGTGGTCAGTCAGGCAATTCAGCAACACACATGGAAGGATCTTGCCTGAGATGGAAAGCAGTGATATTCTTCTGTGATTATCACAGACTTGTCGATTTCTTTTCCTCTTGTAGAGGTGTACGATGGACACGTCTTTCAGTTCCTGAGGAATGGATCCTTGATTCCAGAAGGACTGAAACAGCTGAGTGAGTTTGTCAACAAGCACTGCACCACCTTCCTTATAAAATTCCGCTGGGATCGCGTCAGAACCTGGAGCCTTACTACTGGACAGCTGGCTGATGGCCTGTAGGGTTTCAGTCTCTAATGGTGGGACATCCAGGCTGTGGTTGATGGACGCCTGGGGCATTCTGTCAATCGCCTCGTTATTGATGGAGGATGGGCAGTTCAGTATGGATTGGAAATGCTCAGCCCAACGCTGTAGAATCAGAGTCTTCTCAGTAATGAGAGTGGCACCATCTAAGTCCAGTAGAGGGGAGCTCCCTGAGGGCTGAGATCCGTACAAGGATCTGAGGGCTTCGTAGAAACGTTTGGCATCATTTCTATCAGCAAACTTCTGGATTTCATCTGCTTTGGCACTCCGCCAGGAGTCCTGCATCTATTGAAGCTTGCTTTGTACGGTCCTGCGAATGTTGTTGAAGGCATTTTTCTTAGCTGTTGACGATGGGTCGTTCTGATGAGCATGGTGAAGGCAGCGCTTTTCAGCAAGTAGGGCCTTAATCTCTTCATCATTTTCATGAAACCAGTCCTGCTGTTTCCTGCGTAACGATCCAAGAACCTTTAGTGCAGAAGAATGCACAATATCCCAGAAGCGTTCCCAGTCCTCAGCATTTTCCCCTAATTGCAGCTCTGTAAGTTGATTGTCAAGATCTTCTGGTAGTGAAGCTGCTATGTTGGGGTTCCTCAGTTTACTGACGCTGATCTTTTCTATCACAGCTTTGTTTCCCTGCAGACATCTCTTTGTCTTGATGTGAAGGCTTAATTTGGAGATGATGAATCTATGATCAGTCCAACAGTCAGCACTCGGCATAACCTTGGTCATCCTTACATCCTGCCTGTCTTTCCTCTGCACGATGACATAATCAATGAGATGCCAGTGCTTGGAGCATGGGTGCATCCAGGACATCTTTTTGCGCGTGGACAGGTGGAAGATGGTGTTGGTGATCAAATCATGAGCTGCACACATCTTCAACAGTAGTAGACAGTTGCTATTACATTTGCCGATTCCATTTCTTCCAATGATGCCATCCCAGGCAAAGTGATCAGATCCTACTCTCACATTGAAATCGCTAAGTAGAATCAGCCTGTCGGCGCGCTTCACAGATGAGAGTAGGGCATCAAGATCTTCATAAAACTTGTCCTTTACTTCATCCGGGTTCGTCATTGTGGGTGCATAGGCGCTGATTAGTGTGGCTTGCTTTGCTCTCGGTAATGGGAGATGCAGTGTCATGAGTCAGTTGTTCACGCCCTTGGGAAGACTGGCAAGTGTGCGGACAAGATGATTCTTAACCGCAAAGCCAACTCCAGATTCACGACGTTCGTCACTGCTGCGTCCACACCAGAAGAATGTGAAACCGCCTTCTATTTCTGTAAGCTGACCTTCGTTGGCTAGGCGAGTTTCACACAGGGCTGCAATGTTGATGTTAAATCTTGTGAGCTCTCTGGCGACCAAGGCTGTTCTTCTTTCTGGTCGATCTGCTGAGGGGTTATCTTGAAGCGTGTGTATGTTTCATGTGCCAATAGTGAGTGGTGTTACCTTGTGTTTTATTTGAAGTTTTGTTGTTCGACAGCATGAGATGGGATCCCCTCCAGCCGCAGTAAGCTGGCCAGGGTTGTATGAAGCAAGCAATGTTTAGGGCACCTTTTCTAGCCCCTTCTTCTTACTATGGAGGTGAGCAGTGCAGTCCTAAAGAGGGCTGCTCAGTCACTCAGGTAGATGCCAAATCCAGCTGTTGCTTCGGTCAGCAAGAAGACGACCATTAGACCTGAGCTGCCTGTGTGCAGGTCTGCGGCTACAGCTCCCAGTGTATCCACACCTGCTGCTTCGTCATTCGCCCATTGCCAGAGGACTTTGAGATTTACGGAAGTTGGGGATGTCAAGACTTGCACGTGAATTGGATTAAAGTGAGGGAGAGGGGCACATAGTCAGCCTCACTCTCTCTTCCCAGATTCCATCTTGCTCCATTGGCAGGACAAAGGTCAAGATGGTTGGAGATGGGCTGGGTGCAGTGGCTGACCAGGGCGTCTTCATGTCTTGCCGTGCTCTTGCAGAAACCACAACGCTTGCAGAAACCGCCTTCATGACCGTTGGTCCTATTCTGGTAGGTCTCATCCACTCATTCTGCTGGAGTCTGTCTTCACATGCTCGGGATAGACGAGTCCCTATCTCACCAAAGGTCAATGACCCAACGGCTACCCTCAACCTGGTTTGGCCAGCCAGTTGAAGCTGTTGCCCGGGGTGTGGCTGCTGCGCATGCTACAGCTTCTAGGAGCCACGGGTGAGAGCTGGGTGACAAGTGAGGACCAAAGGTGGACGAGTCGCCCTGAGAGGACACGACATGCCCCTACACCAGAGGTACTACCCCCACCTCATACATCCCATCCTATATAAGTGCACAAAACCACAAGAGTGTCTGCTTACTGTTGAACTCAGCACAGCCAAATAGCCCTCTTTCAAATGTCCTTGCCAATTTCACCCTCCACTAAGGCAGTTCCCCAACAAAATTCCCCCTGCCCCCTACATCAGATTGCAAAAAGGAAAGAATTTCTTGTGCTCTTATGAACACAGGATGCATCACAGCTTTGTCTTTGTTTTTTGTTTGGGGTTTTTTCACTCTTGCGCATGAGTACCTGTTTTCTATTTAGTCAGGTATAACCAATATAGTCCTCCTGTCAAACTTAGGTACTTCCCTTACTAGCAAACACCATTTTCAGGGCTGACTCATGTTACACTGAAGTCAGCACAGTCATCCCCAAAGCACTTATGTTTCTGTAACTGTTAGCTCCATTGCCAGCTAACAGATATACACAAGGTTTACAAGGCAGTGAGCAGGTTTGTAAAAACTATGCACATTCATGGCAGACCATTAGAGGAGGGGAAATTTGTGAAATCTCATGGATGAACAGTAAAACAGAGGGAAAATCTATTTACTGTCCAGCAGGTCACCTGGAAACTATTCCATGCTTGCCTCAAGAACATGCTAGACCCATCTGATGCTTGCTGTAATATATTTGCTAGGCACTGCCAGGAGAATATATCTGCTAGGGCTTAAATTCCAGAGTAGTAATAGTTGAATCTGGTGGGATGCCCAGAGCATAGCCTGGTCTAGCTTTGTTTGGTGTGCTTCAATTGGTACAACTTAGGGTTTGTTGACAACATAGTTGCTTGGACATGTTAATGCAACCACTTCTGTACAGCATCCTTGTCCCTCATGACTTATACAAGCCAGCAAGGAAGGAACAAGCAGCTGGGCCAGGGAGGTGATTCCTTGGAGGGAGTTTGTGGTAAACCAGGCCTGAGACCTTTTGTTATTGGGTGATGCAGAAATGAAAGTCATTGTCAGCAGCAGCAGTTACATCAATATGTGTCAAAGAAGTAAGCTGGGCAAATTGGCTGGAGGGTGGGCCATGCTCATGTCTCTCTTGTCAGTTTCCAATGGGTAGCTGGTTAGCCACTGTGTAATCAGAATGCTGGAACAGAGGGACCCTTGGTCTGATCTGGCATGGCTCTCCTTATTTTCTTAAAGTGAACAGGGGATGGGATATGATGATTATTTAAGCCTAAGGTGACAATGATACTTAAAGATCCGTGTCACCCCAGGGCTGGGATAATACTTCAAGCCTCAGGCACTGTCTTCCCCCTTTCCCCAAGTGTTCCCATTGGTATTCCAAGGAACACCATAGGAGCACTGAGTGGAATGGGTATGACTGCTGTCGAAAGTGAGCAGACCTCTCTCCTGGTATCAGCAGGAGTGTGAGCTGAGGAAGCTGGAGTAGTGGGGCATGAGCCAGTGAATTGACTATCTCACTAGCTGGTTTCCTGCTCATTTATTTATTTATTTAGAGATTGATATACCACCAGAGGGGCTCTCTGGGCAGTTCACAACATGATCTCTTCAAAGAGAAGCTAGTCTCATCTCAATTTTCCCCTCCTCTAATGCTCTTCCATGAATTTTTTGTTTTCCTCATTTTGGCATTATTTCCTTGACACTGTTGATCAAATGTGCTGATAAGTTCCTGAATTCCTGTCCTCTTAGCATCTCTTCTATCTTCAGTATACATTCCTATTGAGCTTCTGTTATTATGGCTTTTAGTAACCTGAAAGAATTCTGGAGAGATATTACCCTTGTGAGTTTTCCTCTCAGGTAACCAATCTCATTTTAGAGAAATTTTCTCTTTGAAGTCAAAACTGATGGTACTGGAATTGTTTAGTAACCCTAATTTTCCATTTATATATAATTTAAATATGATAGCACAGTGGTCACTGTTTCTACTTTAGAATAATTTCAGTTTCTAATAAGTTCAACAACACATTTCACAACACGTTCTATTTGGTTCCATAGTCAATTGTTCTAGTGAGCAGTAGTTGAGGGCATAAAGAAATTTAACATCTTTGTGATTGGAACATGCATTTATCCCGACAATGCAGGGATAACTGAAGTCACTCAGTATTATAATACTTCCTCATTTGAAGGCCTCCATGGCTTCATTCTCTATTTCAAGACTGCCCTAAGTATTTAGAGTGGGGTTGATAGCATGTTCTTCGTACTAAATTTATATTTAAATTTTCAATGTTAATGCTTTTGTTTTGGTTCAGGCTGTTGAATATAATATTTTTGAAGGCATGGAATGCCATGGTGCTCCCCATATAGTCATTAGCCAGGGGAAGATTGTGTTTGAAGATGGAAATCTCTATGTAAATAAAGGAATGGGACATTTCATTCCACGGAATCCATTCCCTGAATACCTTTATCAGAGAATCAAACGTAGGAATAAGGTAGGTTTGTGTACATTTCAAGAATCAAATACTTTTACTCCACCTTTGTTAATCATTTGTATAGTGTATTGTAGTACAGAAAATGCTTTAACAAAAAGGTGAGAGAAAGTGATGTGTGTGGCAATCCACTTTGGCTATATCATTGCCTACTTGAAGGAATGAAAGTTAAAAGATATTGCAGCATGTGATGACTAGCTCTGGCTTTACAGGGTTAGAGGAAGATAAAACACATTTTGTGGGTCATAGAATCATAGAATCATAAAGCAGTAGGTTTGGAAGGGTCCAGAGGGCCATTGGGTCCAAACCTCTGCTCAGTGCAGGACTCCAAGTTAAACCATCCCCCTCAAATGGCTGTCCAGTGTAAGAGAACCCACAATATCTTTAGGTAATTGGTTCCATTGTCATACTGCTTTAAAAGTTAGGAGTTCTTCCTGAAATCTAGCTGGAATTTCGTTTTCTGCAATTTGAGCCCATAATTCCATGTCTTGCACTTGAGGATGATCAAGAAGATATCCTGGCCTTCTTATGACACTGGTATTCCACCCAATCGCCTGAGGGCTCTCTGGGCAGCTCACAAAAACAGGAAAGCTCTAATTATATGTTAACAGTGGGAAGAATTACAATGATATCAAAGCAGAAAGCAGAAGATTGTCCAACTACTGAAGTCTGGAAAAATAACATTGCTGAGTATACTATAAAGGCAAAATTAACTAGTTATAGAAATAGAAGACCAGCCAAAAAATTTAATGAAAAATGGAAAGCTTATTTTGAGCAATTTAACTGATATTTAAGAAAACAGAATTGTTGTTGCTTTCTCCCTTGCTAACCTCAGTTCATTCTTAGCTTTCCTGAAACCATCCCTGCAATTCTCAACTTCCTGCCCATACTGTTCCTTTGTAGGCTCGCCTTCCTTCTACTTTCTGCATGTGTCCTTTTTTGTTTTCAGATAATCTGAACCCTCATTGGCTTCTTTTGTTGTCTTCTATCCCTTTCGCTTGTTGGAATTATTTGCAATTATTCCTGCAGAATTTCCTTTTTTAAAAAATTCCCACTCATCTTCGACTTCTTTTCTCATTAGAGTCACTTGACATGGAACTTGCCCTTGACCAAAGTCAAGGATAGTCCTTCCTCTAGTTCTTTCTTCCACTTTCTGTTGGAGGAAGTTATCAGCAACACATGTTAGGAATTTCTTGGAGGTACCATGTTTGGCTGAATTTGTCTCCCAACAGAAATCATGGAAATGGATATCCCCCATAACAACAATATCACGCCTACTTGAAACATTGGCAATTTGCTTTTCAGAAGTTTCATCCTCATCTTCTCCTTGACTAGGTGGTTGGTGACAGACTTCAACCACTGTGCTCTTTTATTTGTTGCTCCATTTATATTAATCCAGTTGCTTTTGATGGGGCTACTAAGTTCATCAACCTGTGTTTCTGTGCAGAGATATGTATCTTTAACATACAGTGTGACTCCCTTTCTGTTCCTTCTGTTCTTCTAGAATGAGTTATATACTTCAGTTGTTGATTTCCAGTCAAGGGAGTCATCCCACCAAGTTTCAGTTACACTTATCAGGCCATAATCACCCTCCAGTATTGAGAGTTCAAGTTCATGCTGTTTGTTTCCCATACTCTGGGCATTAGTGTATAGACATTGAAGATCATGGGCCTTATACTCTAACTTCCTGCCTACATCTTTTGGAAGACTATTACTGGGCGCTATTAGATCTCTTCTCTCCATTGTGGTACATAAGCCTTGCCTGTTGTTACACCTATGTGTACTTTCCTCTCCCCTGGAGGATTTGGTTTAAAACCCTCCTGATAAATGTCTTCATGCTGTTGCCCAACACATTCTTGCCAGTCCTTGTAAGGTACAACTTATCCTGTGCCAGCACTCCATCTTCCAAGAAGTTTAGACCATGATCCCAGAATCAAATCTCTCACATTGCCACCACCTTCATAGCCAGACATACAGCTGGAGTATTTTTCTTTTCCTTCTTATTACTCTTCCAAGAACGCGAAAGATGGAAGAGAAAACTATCTGAAACCCAGTGTTTTTGACTGTCCTCCCCAAAGTATCAAAGTCTGTCATGATTTCCACAAAACTCCACAAAGATAAGGAGGAAGGATATGTGTCAGTGGGCTTTAGGAGCCTTGGAAGTCCTTCAGTTACATCTCTAATCTATCTGTTACAACTAGAATGCTATGAAATGGCTGTTTTCCTGGAGCAAAAACCTGTGTGTTAAAATGAATGTTTTTATGTTTAATGGTTCATATCCCACCTATACCATGTACTCGCAAGTTGATTTGAATCTAACCTTCATATTTGCTTTCCATGAAATGGGATTTTGTGACTTACCATGCCCGCCACAGTAGGTATTTTATGAATTATTTATTTATTACATTTCCCCCCACAAGTCAGTAGTCCAACAGGACTCTCTGAGCAGATACGAATGGACATATTCCCACAGAATCATAAAATAGCAGAGTTGAAAGGGGCGAAGAAGGCCATCAGGCCTGTTGCAGAACACTACGTTACACCACCCCACTCAGATGGTTGTCCAGTTTCTTTTTGAATGTCTCTACAGTAGGAGAGACTGTGACCTCTCTAGGCAACTGTTTTCACTGTCATATTTCTCTGAGAGTTAGGAAATTTTAGGAAATAGGAGAGTTTTTCTGATATCTAACCTGAATCTGGTTTGTTGCAGCTTGTGTCCTACACGCTGGTATGAGCAAGAAGAGATCTTGACCTTCCTCTTTGTAACAGCCTTTTGGGTACTTATAGAATGATATCTTGCCCACCCCCAGTATTTTCTACTCAAAGTTGGACATATTCAGTTCTTTCAGTCTCTGGTCATAAGACAATGTATCCAAACCCTGGATCAGTTTTGTTAGCTTCTTCTGAACTCTTTCCTATTTTTCTGCATTTTACTTAAATTTTGGTGCCCAGAACTAGACACAGTACTCTATTCGCCTTTTTATGATCATGCCACACAAAAAATTCAAAATATGGCCCAAATAGGTTGAAGACCCTTGTCATGTACTGTAACGCATTTTGTTTATAGGGAACAAACAAAGAATAAATGTAATTATGTATGTTCTGCTTTTGCAAAAGGGAGGAATGACAATGGAGGAAGCATGAATCACTCATATGAACTCTGATGCCACTTTGATTGACCATATGATGTCACCTATAGCATAGATTTGGTGTGCAAGAACTGTGAGTAAAATGCCAGGCTATTAAGAAAAATTAAATGCATTTCTCTTTGTAATATATAGGTAACAGAATTCCAGGGAGTTTCCAGAGGAATGTATGATGGTCCTGTCTATGAAGTCCCAGCAACAACAAAATACGCAACTCCTGTACCTTCCACAAAATCTTCTCCTGCCAAAAATCAGCCTCCACCAATCAGGAACCTCCACCAGTCCAATTTTAGCTTATCAGGTGAAACAGTGTGACAAACTCAGATAATCTCTGTTACAGATAATAGATTTATAGAAAGTTATCCTGCAGCAATTTACTAAGGGACAGTTGTACAGTAACATTTTGGGCAGGAAGACAGTTTTCAGATTGGGTGGTGGCCCTTTTCGAGTTCTGTCCTATGATGTGTTATTCATGACTCAAGATGTTTAAAGAGTGCTACATGTCCCTTCCCAGCATTCTTGCTTGCATATTATAGTAGATAGCTGCACACACTACTTTTCTGAGGATGGTTGCAAGATTCCACTAGTACCCATTAGCTTCTATGAAACACTACAGTAGAGCTTCAAGACCTAGTTTTCAAGTGGCATGTGAGTGATATAGGTCGATTGCTTCACAGCTCCTCCCCTGAAAGCTTGCAATAGGGTGGTGGTGGTGTTTTCAAAATCAGTATTTGTGGACATCAGATTGGATTTTAAACTGAAACAGATAAAACAAATTTATGGAAACAGCAACAAAATTAGCTTTTGTAATTACTGGTGCCACTGATTGATGAATTAACCAAAGTCTTGAGAGGCTAATAAATATCACTTCAATTCTGGATTGCTGTTGTGCAGGTGCTCAGATAGATGATAACAACCCACGTCGTACTGGACATCGCATTGTCGCACCCCCTGGTGGCCGCTCCAATATTACTAGCCTTGGATGAGCTCAAATAGAAATTGGAAAACCAACAATGAAGGGTCATGGGAACAATCTTCTTTCTGTTCTGTGTCTGTGTTGATGACCCAATGTTTTATTTAGTACTGATATGAATAAAAACTATTTGTCCCTTTTAAATATGCATAGAAAATTCTTATTGGATGTAGTGTGTTTGTCTGGGACCAATTGCCTCACAATTGTGCTTTCATACCTCTGTCATGTTAAAGCATGTTACTTCCATTACCAAATTAGTTACTGCTTGCTTTTAGCTTTGTCTTGTAACTACTTGGCAATTTGCACCTCCCATTCCACTTCACTGTGCTAGAGTAGTTAATGCATGTTACTAAGTTACTGTTGCAAGTTGCAGTTTGTAAGCAAGTCCCCATTTTCAACAATTAGCTAGACATGATTCCAAGGTAAGAAATTCTACAAAAGATGGAAAACACTTTAAAAACTGTGAAGTAGAACAGAACAGGCATGTTTTTAATGTAATTTTTAAATTTATTATAGGCCCAACTAAGAAGCCCTTTCAAGTAAAAGCTTCAATAGAAGAAGGCCTAAGCATCTCTGATCTATTTGATACATTCTACTCTAGCTTCCACACAATGATCCTGTTGCCTTCTTCTTCAGAGGATTTTCACAATGGAGCAGTAGAGCTCACTTTCTGCATGAAATTTTGGCATTTAGAAACAATGCACATTGTTGTTGAATTTTTAAAGGTTTTGTACAGACTTATTTTCTTCTTTTTAAATCACATTCATTTCTATACAATGTATTAGATATACTAGTTGTGGTTCATTTTTAAAATTGAATTCTTGTGAAATAAAGAAAATGGAATGAAGTGTTTTATTTCTAGTTCATAAGAGTTGTTATTGATTTGCACACCACTGAAGAAAACAACTGCTTTAGGAAAATTACAAGCCCTAATTCCTGTGTGTTAAGAAAATCACTGAAACTTTTTTCGGCTGAAAAGCAAGTACAATGCAAAGTGTTAAAGGTGGCTGCCTTAAGCCTTTGGTATGTAAGTGTATATACTTACTTGGCATGCATGTAAAGCCACATAGAAAAACAAAGCAGCAAAGAGGAGGAAGCTGGGGAAGGGAGGGACTGTTATGAAGATCTGGAAAACCCAGTGTAATGGAGAGATAACAGACTAATCAGGAAATTAGATGATACAGTTGGGAAAAAATCTCAGCTACTTTTTCATAGTTAATCCAAGGGCTCAGGAAAATTTGCCATTTCCTATGCCCTAGTACCTCGGCTAACGATCACCTCAGTTCACAACCAAATCAGGTCACAAACAGAAATTTCATAAAAAATTTGCCGCAGGTTGTGAACTCCACATCGGGTGACGATTGCGAGCACGCCCGCCTTCCCTGCATGAGCGTGATCACGGGTGTGTGGGGGAGGGGAGGTGACTGTGATTGTGCCCATGTTCCCTGCCTGAGCACGCCCACATCCACCTCCCCCAGTGCGCCCACGATCGCACCCATCCCTCCAACCCCCCCCCCCCGCACGATTGCTGGCAGGGGGAGGGAGATGGCCACGATCTTTGTTGTTCACTTTGCTTCAAATTTTTGTGAGTAAAAAACATAGTGGCAGAACAGATTAACCTTGTTTATACTGACCCTTATGAGGAAATTTGACTTGGCTCATGACCGACTTGGGTCACGACCAGAGTCCTGGAATGGATTAAGTTCATGAGCCAAGGTATATTTCTGAGATTTATATCCTGCCCTTTAGCCAAAAAGACTCTACGCACTAGAGGATGTCCCCACTAACCCTTCCACTTGCCTTATCCATAATTCCTGGAAATAGCAATGGAGTCCAGTAATACAAGACAAGCAATCAGGTTCCCCCCTACCTTTCCTTAATTGCTTCCTCAAGCCTGTCAAAAAGTTGAACTAGAGTGCAATTGTTGGAAGGTTTGTTGAAATGCAGTTAGGAGAGCAACTGTAAAAGGAGCAAGGCGAAACCTAGGTTCGAACCAAAGTTATAATTACAAGTATTACAGTTCAGCTGTGGCAGCCAAGCTATATGTTCATACAAAACCAAGAATGACAAAAATTCCCCATCAACATCTATTAGTTGATCCAAGGTAAAAATCAACACATCCATACAAGTTCATCACAAAAAAAAATCTTAAAATGTTAAAATCTGATCTACCCCATGTCACTTCAGCATGAGAAAAGTTATCAAAATTGAAATGGCATTCTAAACCACATATATCTAACAGTATGCCTTTGGGAGGAACCCAAATCATTTTAATGTGGCAGGAACCTAATGCCAATCATTTAGAAGATCCCAAAACTGACCAAGGTTGGAAATCTCTTTTTTAAATAATATTTTTATTTATTTTCAAAAAGTACAATAAAAAGGCAAAAGGGTATATAGGAAAAAATGAACCCAAGGATTTAGCCAGCAACTCCTCATTTAAGCACATTTATAATAAACAAAAGTCTCTATCAACCACTTTCCCATCCATCACATTCAATTCTCAGTCATGTATTTATCCAGCCTATACAGTTAGTTATAGATCATAACCTTGCTTTGGTAATGGATAATAATCACAAACATTTGTAACAAATACATTTTCTTCAACCATTATTTAAATTATTCATACTAAGTCATCCATCTTTGATTAAATTCTTTAACTGTTCTTTTGTTGACATAATTAGTTATCTTTGTCATTGTTGCATATTCAGCTAGCTTGTTTTTCAATCTTCAAGAGCTAAGCAGTCTTCAGCTTTCCTCTTGGAAGGAATTATCACTCTTGCTGTTGTTATCATATATTTGTATAAGTCAGTCATATGCTCAGTAACATATTCTTGGCATTTATTGCAAAGTCTGTTTTAAGTATTTTCTGCAACTCTGCATATATCTGCTTCCATTTTTTTAAAAAAAATTGTCAGATCTCCATCACATATGATAAAATGTCCCATCTATCTCTCTGCATTTTCAACATTTTCCATTATAATTCTTGTCCATTTTCTGTATATCTTTTAGGGTAATATACCATTGCAAATACATCTTATACCAATTTTTGGTATAAGATCTTCATGCATATTTTCTCTTGTTGAGGCTTAGTATTTAAGCGCTTGTTTATAGATATGTCCTAGGAGAAGGTGGAAAATCTTATCATTATGGAAAAGGCCAAAATTTAGCAAAGGTCAACAAATAGGCCTGATTATATAAAGCAAGATCTAGGAGGCTAAAACCATTACTTTTCATTAGAAGTTGCATCCTTTTCAGGTATGGTCACAATGTGGAGGAACCCCAAAAGAATGTATGAAAAAAGGTATTGCAAATACTTTCCAGGACTATATTTCTATAAAGGAATGCCATGTATAACATACAAAATCCAAGCCTGAGTATTAACATTGACAGTTTTTCAGAACAAACTCTACTTTAAAGATGACTATTTAAATTTCATGAGATAATATTACTCAACTCATTCAAATCAATCTTGATATTTTGAAATATGTCTCTAGGAATAAGTATTCCAAATAAGTAATAACATCTGGGCACTGTTGAAATTTCCTATTAGTTAATACTTTATTAAATACAATATGTCCAACTACCCTTGACCAGCTAACTAAATAGAAGTAATTAAAATTATTAATTACCTGTATCAAAAGCAGAACACACAACTAAGTGCTAAAGTAAATAATACCATCAATATAAAGAATAACTTTGAATTCTAAGGTCGCAAGCAGAAAAGTCATGAATTCCACTATTCTGTTAAATAGCCCAAACCAGAGGTTCCAAGTAGCAAGTCAAGGAAAAAAAACAAGTACCAAAGGGAAAAGTAGAGATCACTCTCTGGTTTTGCCAAGTGAAAAGACTGTTGAAAAAAGACTAGTCGCCATAGATCTAGTTCTTAGTTTTTCTTATTACAAGGGTAAAATAGAGGGGTGGGAGGATTATATAAGCTGCCTTGTATTCCTTGCTGGAAAAAAAAGCATGGTTAGGAGTGTACACAGCAGTTTTGACCTTTCCTGACCATGGCCATGTATACCTTAGTAACATTCTGTTTGGACTACCGTAACACACTCTACATGGGTCTGCCTTTGAAACTATATTATCTGAGGATGATGTGGTACATCACTGCCACTTGCTTGCAATTTACCCCAGTCAGTCAGTGGCAGGGAGAAAGAGATAAGAAAGGCTGGGGAAAAGGCGAGATAAGAAACAAATAATAGCCAAACATATATATATTCATATATACATTCTAACCAGTCTTATGTCTTGCTCTGAGGTTTCATTTCCTTATTGTACAAATTGAAATAACATTTTAAAAACTCTGAATTGTATCATATCGCTCTGAGCTTTGATAGGTAAAATAAAATTTCAGTGTTCATTTTGCTTAAGATGATATGCCAAAATCTTACTGGGACACTAACCATATTGGATGGGTTTCTACAACCACATAAAACCCAAAGAAGGAGTAACCAACTGAGCCAGGAAGGTCATTAATGCCTCTTTGCAAGAGGGAGTGGTCCCATGCTGCCTTAAAGGGGTGGTGGGTTCTGGCCAGCTTGCATTGGCTGCCTCATGCTTTTGGTCCAAATTATTTTAATCTATGAAGCCCTATATAGCATAGGTACACAATACCTGTCAGAATGCATCTTCCAACCACAATCTATTTGGACACCATGCTCTTATTTTTGTTTGTTTTGTTTTGCTTTGCTTTTGTTTTTAACATTTTGAAGGTGTCGAATTTCTTGAGATGCTCCTCTCCTCTCCTCTCCTCTCCTCTCCTCTCCTCTCCTCTCCTGGCTGATTAATCTCCAACTACTCCAGGTATTGTGTACCTGACTAATACCTGGCATACCTGACATACTGAGATTTAGACTGACAGTGGCTTTTTCCCTCTACAAGTGTGGGGGACCTATTAAGAAAGTCCAGGCTAGGAAATGAATGGATCTAAGTGGGTTCCAGAGGGGTTTGGGGAATATTCCAGCTGACATGGCTGGTGCTCCTGTCAAAGCCCTGGTCACTCTGTGG